AAATAAATAAACGTTGAAAAAAAAATTAAAAAAAAAAAAAAAAAAAACGCTGATTCACAAAGTTGGGCAAAACACTTCTGATTACTGAATTACCAAATATCCAAAAGTTAGTACAGTTGACCCTTGAACAACATAACTGACCCTGCCCAGCCCCCACTCAAAAATTTGCATATAACTTCTGCCTCTCCCAAAACTTCACTGCTAATATCCTGTAGACTGAAAACCTTGCCAATAACAAATACAGTCGATTAGCACGTATTTTGTATGAGAATTACATATTGTATTCTCACAATAAAGTAAGCCAGAGAAAAGAAAATGTGATGACAACCATAAGGAAAATATTTATAGTACTGTACTGTCTTTATGGGAAAAAAAATCTGTATATAAGTGGATCCGCACAGTTAAACCTGTGTTGTTCAAAGGTCAGCTGCATTTTGCTAGTAAGACACAACTACCTTTTATTATAACCAAACACTGCAAGGTGACTAAGATACATTTCAATACATTTTACCAGAAGAGTAGCTTATTTGACTGCTCAACAAAGAATTATGAATGGAAGTTCTCCGTGATATTTTCTGAACCCTGCCGGTACACAATGTTCTTTAAACCTTCTAAAAGTTAAAAAATGAGAAAAGGGAATCTGTTTTAGAGAAAAAGATCAACAATTTCTGTGAAATGTCCAAATAGGAGGTTAATCTCAAACCTAAGACAATGATACCCTTGCAATGAGAAAATTAAGAAGAAATTGTGAGGATTAATTTAAATAAAACCTTTGAGGGCTGTAGATGAAATACTCAAATGTCTGCTTATAATCTTTAACTTACTAACCTACATGTATTTAAAAATACGTTATAAAAGGCAATAGGTTAATTCATGAAGCAATTTTATTCTATTTCACTTTCGTCTTCCACATATCAGTGTCTCTGTGGTCACTTAAGCCCCTCTGAATGATTGAATTCCGTTTTCTAGAGCACATCACCTTCACGTTTGCCAAATCAGCTGCGAAAGAATGTTTTTTGAATCCACACACGATGCTCTCATTGGAAATCTCAACCAACCGAAGCCATCGATACGTATTCAGGAGGGCGGAACATTTTTCAGTCATCACTGACTGTACTGATTCACTGTATAAACATACCAAATTAGCAGCAACTGAGGTTTTGTAGTGCACTATGTATTTCCCAAACAGCATCCTGTTGTTCAAAAACAGAGTAACTGAAGAGTGCCCTGTAATAAATAGGAAAGACTTGAACACGTGGTGACACCCTCTTTACAGACAGATGTTTGCGGGGAGCCTGGCCTCGTAATCAGGTATGTACAGTATATCCTTGAAAACAACTTTTAAGAGGTAAGGCTGCCTGGGATGATCTAAAGGTTTCTTCGTGCCTTTTGCGAATGCTCTCTAAGCTTCCAGATTTGGAAAGAAATGCCTGTCTGCTAAGCAGTCCTTTTTGAGTCACAGGCAGACAAAAAGCTGTCAGGACAAGTGGATGGATGGGCCTTCCCTACTTTTAATCCAACCCCGTGCTACTGCAGGCACAATCTTTCCAAAAAGCTAATCTGATGGCAACTGTGCTGAGCTTAAAACCTTTCTACTGCGTCCACCAGCATGGAGGATAAAAAAAAAAAAAAAAAAAAAAAAAAAAAGCATCAATCTCCATCGTGTCATCTCTAGGTTACTCTGATCCACCTTTGTTTACCCAACTGGTGGGTACCAACCCCGCCTGCTCATGTCAGGGGCTCTGGCCAAGACTCCTCCATTGACGGGAGGGCC